ATGATGATGGTGATGATGATGATGATGCTGCTGCTGATGATGATGATGATTTCGTCAATTTTGGTGGTGTGGGTTGTCCTCGCGCTAGTCGTAGAGTCCTGACGAGAATTTCGATGAAAGTAGCGTGATATGACATTTCTGCGAGAATTGCTGTACCCTAAATCAGTATACCCAACTCATTAGAAAAAAAGAAAGCCCTCTGCCTGAAGCAGGATGGCCTTACAGGCAGCGCCTGGGGTGACTGGGCAGCCTACACGGACAATTGGCCGCCAAAAGCTACCCAAGCAGCTTCATTCCTGTAGTACAGTAGGCATTCAGTGTACGGGCAGAGCTGCTGATTCCTTTCTTCCCAGGCTTTGGGTGTAGACTTCTTAGCGTGCAAGGTCGCGCGGCAATGTCGAAGAGTAGATAACCTTTGACCTTTTGGATTTGTATAACCCTACCATAGACCTTTCGTGGGGTTCAGGAATTCAGCGAATCGGTAAAGCTTTCATCTTCAGCTAGGATATATAGCATCTTTGAATCGCTTGATCTCCAGCCCGAAGTCCTTCCTTCACACGGAGCGTGTTCCACCCCCTGAAAGTAACTGTCGTTCCCCACACAAACCATGGACCATTCTTTCTTGCGGTTTTCTGTTCTCCTTTTTGGAATGTCCAAAGTTTCAGGGTTTTCAGTTAGTCGGTTGACTTGAAGACGGCCAAATGTGCTCGCATCACAGGTTTCGGATTGGGAATTTCGACGTTAAGCATGTGTTGGGGCTGATTCTTGAATGATCTGTGGGACGGCTGTCGTAGCAGGGGCGGCCTCAATAACTGCTACGCAATCTACCCTAGTTATCGATGCCCGTGCTGGACTAGTTGGAGTCAACTGTCAAAGCGTCCTTGATAGCACTATGCCCGCACTCTTGAGCCCTTAAGGCAGTACTACACTTTAACCTTGACAACAGCAACAACCCCAAAGAGCCAACTCTTCACAAAAAAACTGCCGCATCGCAGGACTCTCCTCTGCGCGCCTTCGAGAACGAGCTCGGAGTGCAGGTCTCGAAGAGTCCCTTGAAAAGCGAAAGCAAGAGCTGGTGACCAGTGTTTAGGGTTTAGCGTTTAAGGTTTAGGGTATGGGTTCTGTCGCCTTACACCTGCCTGAGCGCGAAAGCTAAAGGTTTCCAGAATTTTATGGGGTCGAGACTTTGAGGTGCTAACTCTGAACTGAAGCAGGGCAGCATGTACAAGGATAGTGCTGGCACGGTCTAGGCATGTGGGTATTCGGGAAATGGTGATGACTAATCATGGTAGCTTAGTGCTGGTACTGGTACAGCTTAGCAGGCCTGGCTGAATCGCCCGGCAGCAGGGGATAGAGCAGCAAACCTGCCCGCAACCATCGCCGAAAACAGAAACAGCCCCTGAACCCTGCACCCGAAACCCGAAAGCCCTAACTACTCCTGAGTCCAGCACCCCAATCCGTAGTCCCTGCAACCTCCCTGGGTCGCCCCAGCCAAACACCTGCTAAACTCCAGGCTGTAGAGTTCAGCGCCTGTAGGGTTTACTGTGCATAGGGTTCTGCAGAATCAACAACAGCATCTCTCATGGTTCCCCATGATAGCGAAAGTATCACCAAAGCGCTGTTCTAAGTCTATATTGGGGTCTTAGGGTCGGGATGCTTGGGGTGGTTAAAGTTAGGACCTCGGCAATCCGAAGCATCGGGATTCAACAACAAGAGAAGCCTGAATCGTTAGGTTAGCGATCATATCCGACAGTCCCCATGTAGTTCCACTATAATTGATACCCCGAGACCCTAATCAAATAATTCAGCCCCCATCATAGAGTCTTGTAGAATCCCTAAACCTTAAGTTCATTGCAAACACCTGTTACTAGATCCTGAGGCCGCTATTTTAGCCGGTGTCGACCTTCGCCTTAACTGTTTTGCGGCCTTGGCTTCGGAGGCCCCCGTGGGCTACTTCGATCCTCTGGGCATGTCCAAGGACGGCGACGAGAAAGTGCATCTTGACGAAACATGGCATGGGTGAGTTCAAGGTTCTGTCTTGTAGGTTTTATATACGGGCTTGTACAAGGGTTCTTAGTTCTTAGATTTTAGGATGTATAAAGTGAAAGACTGGAGACATGTCGATCACACTAGCCGGATTTGGAGAGCTTCCAACCTCATTTGGGCTTGCTGGGGTTGGGTGTTTTGGGCCAGGTGTTTGAGGGTTTTGACGAAAAACCAAGAACCACACATCTGTATTGTTCGAGGTTCCGCCGACGCCGCGAGAGCGAGCTGAAGTGGGGAGCTCGGTAAAGCCGGGCGGAGGATCCGATGCAAATTGAGGGAGGTACTGCTACAAGTTGAGAGCTCAGTGTCGAACGATCTGTTTCAATACACTAACAGTAGTTTGGCATAGTACGAATCAAAGCAGTAGCTTGTGGTTTAGAGTCTCGTTATTATTATCGCCGGTTGGCTCAACACTGAAGGACTGAGCCTCGAGTGATATTCTTTCGTCCAAAGCCATATATCACTATTACATCTACAGGAACACCATGGTAAAGTGCAGAGACCTTGCAACCAAACGAAGCTTGACTAGGAAGTTGTACCTTTTAAAGCTTTTTGCCTATGCACTGCAGCGACAAAAGTCTCCAGACTGTCGCCCTAAAGCACAGCGCCGTTTATCTGATCGGAGGAGAGGTGCGGATCAAGAGTCCCGAGTGTGCTTCTCGTTGAGTGTCGCCTTTCGGTCTCCAGGAACGGCCGCGTGGCCATGTTCGCTGCCATGGGATGCCGTGCGCTTACGAAGACCGCCCTCCTTTGAGGCTTCAAGAGCAGGGATGCAGACTGGGAGTTCGGATCGACGGTTTCGGCGGTAATGGGTATGTGCAGTTGAAAGTTGCTTTCTCACCCTCGCCTGACCTGATCTCACTCTCGCATTCTTTGTTTGGCCGTACTCTCGCGTTTGTCTTTGCACCTTCCTGTCGCACACATACGTACATATCTACACACACATATATATCTATCTATCTATCTCTCTGTCTATCTATCTATCTATCTATCTAGCTATCTATCTATCTACCTATCTATCTATCTATCTATCTATCTATCTAACTATCTTTTTACCTATCTATCTATCTCTCTCTGTCTCTCTCTTTGGCCCTTTCTCTCTGTGCTGTCCCTTTTATCTTCTTTCGCCTCGCTTTTGTACGCTTGAAACAACAGGAAGGCAACGGATTAAGAGAGAGAGAGACAGAGAGAGAGACTCACACACACACACACATTGTACACAGAGACCGGTTGTCTGTCTGTCTGTCTATCTATCTGTCTTTCTATCTATCTGTCTATCTATCTCCCCTTCTCTCTGTCTGACTGCCTGCCTGCCTGCCTGTCTGTTTGTCTGTCTGTTTGTCTGTCTGTCTGTCGGTCGGTCCCGCTGTCCGTCCCGCTGTCTGTCCCTCTGTCTGTCCCTCTCTCTGTCCCTCTGTCTGTCCCTCTGTCTGTCTGTCCTTCTCTCCGTCCGTCCGTCCGTTTGTCTGTCTGTGTATATTCTATATATCTACTTGATATTACTTGATACATAAGCGACACACAGCAAACAGATGAATGAACAAGAGTTGTTGCAAACACGTGCGGGCATGCAAACCTGCTCCGTCCAACCACGCAGCCGCGAAAGATATTATCTAGGCCCGATGTTGCATAGCCCCAGCGAAGCACCAGCTCAACCAAGTCATCACGCCGGAGTATTTCCGCTTCCCTGGCTTCCTCTCGTATCAGCCCAAGCTGCGGGCATGTGGGAAGGTTTTTTCGAGCGCTAGGACTTATTAGGATTCAGGCCAGATGGAATGGATGTTGGGTTTCGGATCTTGCACATCGGCACGTGGATTGGAGAATATTGGAGCTCTCAAGCCTCAACCCCTGCCGGTAGTAGTCAATCCTTATAGAGTGCCCTAAAGCATTGACCCTCACAGATGCCTCATCATGCAGGTGCTGGAAACAAAAGGAGATGGGCATCATCATTCAAACACTCTAAACCCGAAAGACTGAGAACAACACAAGACTGCGAATTCTTCCGCCGGTGCTTAAGTTCCTGTCCGCACAAAGTGTTCGGAACTTGCACGGCCTGAGACTGTGAAGCCGAAGCCCGAGCCCTTGAATATCAGCAACAACATTATGAGCAAAATACAGGCATCGAATATTACGAATGACTCCGAATGAGAGGAGGGTCTACCAAGAATCATGAAGATAAGATGACAAGTAGTAGCAAGGAGTTATCATAACAACCATGTACTTGTAACAAGCAGCCTAAGTAAGGTGGCCGAAGCAGCAGTAGCAGCGGTAGCAGCAGTAGCAGTAGCAGCGGCAGCAGCAGCAGGAGTCGTAGTAGTAGCAGCAGCAGTAGCCGTAGCAGTGGCAAAAAGGCAGTAGCAGTATAACAGTGGCAGCAGTAGCAGTAGTAGCAGTGGAGAATGCATTATTCTTACTTCTGGTACTACTGTTACTGCTACTGCTACGACGACGACGACGACTACTACTACAAAAAAACTACTACTACTACTGCTACTGCTGCTACTACTACTACTACTACTACTACTACTACTACTGCTACACTATTACTACTGCTCAATGCTCAATCCCGAATGCCACTGAACCCGAATAAGGAGCTCCAAAACAGTGTTAACCGCAAACTCGAAACCCTAAAGACAGACCGAACCTGCCATGCCTGCGAGTGCGAGTGTGTGAGTCGAAAGACAGATTCTGACGTCGCCGATATCCCTAAACTCAACACTCCAAGTCCTCAGGTGTTGAAAACCCCGGCAACACGGAGCCTCAACTGGTGGAGCCCCAGCCCAGCCCAGCCAAAGACAGGATCTTATCTATTTTTTGATTCATTTTTGTTTTTGTTTTTTTTTAATCCTTTTTTGTTTTGGAGGAATCTGTGCTTTTTTTGATCCCACACCCCCACTTCTGAGCGTGTGCAGATGTGATGAATGTACATCTTGGTGCCTCAGTGGTGCTTGGAAATGCTGCCGCCTGCCACCCCGTGCCAGGATGCAACCGTTTTTGTCAGCAGCGCAGACTGCCGAGCTATCGTCTTCCCAAACTTTGAAGAGGCGGCACGCGTTTGGATCAAGGCAACCTCCTCAGTACCACCAACAACCATTTCATTGTAGGAGCTTGCGAGAGCATATGTTGTTCACTGTGCAACCAAGGGATGCAAGTTCTCAGTGGCAGGACCCGGATTGAAGATTGCAAGATTGCTGCTATGGACATGGATAAACCCCGCATGAACATTGTAGCTGGTAGAATCCTGCAGAATACCAGGCTTGCACCTCCGGCTCTAGCTTGCCACTCTGTTTGCACACGGTGCTGCCAGTCAAAAGTTTCGGCCAGCTGTGTTGTCCCGACGAATGCTCAGCACAATTCAGAACCACGAAGATAGACGATAGGCAATCAATTCCAGCATCCGATGGCTGTATCGATGCGGCCTCTTAAATGTCCATGAAGTCCAGAAGCTGTTTTCCGACACGGCGTCGTGAAGCAGCAGCATGCAGTCCGGCCTTCGGCGATATGCGGGCTCCGGCAGTCGAAAGATCGAAGGACAAAGCCCGGACAGAATGAAGGAGGAAACCTACACGGCTCTGTACGGTCGATTCGCAACTTGAAATCTGAATGATTCGCTAGCGCATGGCCATATATCGGAGGACTGCAACCAGAAACGCACGTGTGAGACTCACCAGCTACGGGGTCAGGACCACCTGTGCCCACAAGAAGATCAGTGAAACTGCTCCAACCTGGAAACGGCTTTGCAAACTGCTGAAAATGCTTCTGCTCATTCCAAAACCATCAGACGCGAGCAGAAGCTTCTTTGTGACAGAACTCCTTGGAAACTCTGCTGCGGCGGAGCCTTTCCTGCGGAAGTCAGGCCGGGCGCAGCATCTTTGTGAGCAGGGGACGCCTGCATGTGCTTCCCTGAGCCGGCTTTATGTTATGGGCTCATCCTTGCAGGCTGTTCTGTGGCTGTTCTCCGCCTAGCACCACAGGACACTTTTGTTCTTCATCTACTTCATAGCTAAAAACTCCCTGCAATGCATCAAGCGCATCGCCTTGCAAGAGGATTACCACCGCTTCCACTTTCCCTGCGGCCCGGGCCAGGCACTGCCAGAAAACAGCAGGGCTTTGGGCCTTAGGGAGTTGCAACAAAATGCAGCTGCTGCGAGGTGTTGAGCCAGAAATGTTTATCCGGGGAGTATTACTCAGTGAACCCTGTGGCCATCAACAACTCCAGTGTGGACGTGCTCACTGAGAACTGTAGATCTGTGTCGTGGCCAGTCATAGTGGGGCTTCAATCAGGTTAAGCCCGGCCTTAGATGCCCGCAGCTGGAATGAAACATTAGATGTCAGGCGCTGGATCCCCTTTTCCAGTGCTTGAGGTGAGCATTTTGCAGCACGCTGGGTTTGGCCTGGTCGCCTTCGTAGCCGTGGGTGCAACTCTGGTGGGCTCTGTCGAACTTCTGCGAAAGGACCCATGCAAAGAAGCCTCAAGCATCTGGAGCCTTGTAAACATTGCCACTGACAGGAAGGCTCAGATTTCCGAAAAGGAGATTGCTATGGATATTTCCAGCCACTCGATCGCACACTATAATCCCGCAACGTTGCAACTAAACACTCGACTTGGACCGACCTCATAATATGCCTGTATTCAAACAACCTGCCCCTGAGGTATGGAGGGTCCACATGAAGCTCGGCTCGGTTTCGAACAACGCATGCAACCGCTTGCCCGGCTTACCCCCTTTCCTGCAGTGTTCCATGCTTTCTTTCATGAAGACAGCCCCACTTTCGAGGATGTGTGAAAGCTGCTTGAATAAGGTGTCCTGTTGACGGAGCCAGGAGCTGTTCAGTGGGACAAGGACCACAATGGCTCTATCTGCAAAATCAGCACACAGGTGCGAATGGTTCCCATCACAAACGGATGATATGGAGTTTAGGTTGGGTTCCATGAGCCCGCCTGCAAAAAGATTGAACTCCATGAACTCAGTTCTACATGATAGACAAAGACCCACGACTCCACTCCGACACTCACATGGAACCCATCTCAAGGTCACCCTCTCTACAAGAAGCATAGATACTAGCCAGCGGAAGATCCTCCATAGCATATCTGCCTGTGCCGTGCTAATACGACCACGAGAAGAATTCATGAGGCTGTGTTGATGCGTGGTGCCAAGACATACCACGAACAGCATAGCTAGTGACAGCTAGTGATACTGATGCCCGCCAAGCTTGGGCAGCAGCGCAGTGCAAGTATCCACACAGTTCCACCCAGAGCATTGACACGCTGCACAAGCCTAGCACGTGCACACATCATTGTCGATCATGTTCTCGTGCATACTTTGCAAATCTTTGCAAATCAGTTCCAGGACCTTCTGGATGCCTCGGCGCGCGGACTCGAGACCCTAGGCTTAGCAGCGTGTTGAAGCACGAGCTCTGTTGCGGCACCACTCGCAAATGCAGTTGGGTTTTGAGCCAAATGCTGCGCCTCTGGCCGAGGACCTTTGTGCGGATGGGAGAAAGGATGGGCACGTGCGCAAACTGACTGAATTTGTGCAATAAATTTTCATCGATGCACAAGTTCCTGCCTCCATCTTACATTTTCCACATTTCGCGACTCTGTCGGCTTACTGGCCGAAGCCAAGATTTAATTTAACGATCTGCCGTCGGTCGGCACATTTGTTCCCTGCTGAGTTTCCCAAGATGACCCTAGGCCACAGCATGTGTAGTGCCTTCATCATTCATCCCTTGCGAATCACTACTGCGTATCCCGGTGCATAACACGCGTCTTATCTACTCGGTCGCTTCTGCAACGGTGTTTGGCAGCAAATCGGGCTGAACAGAACCGAGGAAGCATGTGGGTATCTGCAGAATCGACCTCCGCTGGAGCTTCCACTAGCGAAACATGTAATAGGCTGTCCCGCGCGGCTGCTTGCAGCAGGAGCGTGCGCAAACTAGCTTATTAGTTTATATTATTATATATTATATATATCAATATATTATTATAGATTATCATATATTATTTTATAGTAGTATATAGTACTATTATTATTATTATCTTATTATTATGTCTGCGTAACTCCTGCCGCCTCGTAAGCCAGCTGCAACATGTTCTGGCAGCTACCAGCAATCACAAGAATAGCTGGCTGAGGGTGCAAAGTGCATCAGTGAAGGCTTCATAGCTCGACAAGGCCAATACCGGCTCAATAGTATTTTGAGAACAAAATAACTGAAGTAACCTTTAAACCTTGAGTCGCATTCCCTTTGCACCATGCTCTTGACAAGAGAAGCACACCTTCTTCACCACGAAAGTGGGCATGCATGTTGTTCAATCCTAGACTTCGTTTGTCCTTCAATGTGGAGGCAGTGTGCTTGTCCCGAAAGTTTTACACCCAAGGGCGCTTGCCAAGTTCTTGCCGCAGGAAGGTAACACTTCATGCGGCGGTGCAGCAAAGCCAGATCTAAAGGATGAACTGCCGTGCTGCGCAGGTTGCTGAGCATGTGTTTGTGTCTGTGTGTGTGTGTGTGTGGGTGTGTTTGTGTGTGTGTGTGTGTTTGTGTGTGTGTGTGTGTTTGTGTGTGTGTGTGTGTTTGTTTGTTTGTGTGCGTGTGTGTGTGTGTTTGTTTGTTTGTTTGTTTGTTTGTTTGTTTGCGTGCGCACGTGTCTCTTTGTTTGCGTGTGTGTCGGGGGGTGTCCTGAACAAAGCTCCTCAATTGCACGTCGCCGCATTGGCCTCAAGACCGTCGTTGCCTCCAACCCGTCCTCTTGCCCAAGATGCCCCCCAAGAAGAAGGTGGAGGAGGAAGCGGTCAGAGTGTGGAAGCCGTCTCGAGCTTGCCATGTCCGTTTCCCTGGTGCAGGAGGCTGTCGGCCCATGGATGCTGGGTCGATGGTCCCGGGCGCTCAAAGTTGGTCTGGTAGGAATGCCGAAGCTTGCTTGTAATCATAGAAACGGACTTGGATACTTGTGGCGGTTTGGCTGAATCTGCTGAGGAACGTCGGGAAGAGCACACTCTACAATACCTTGAGCGACTCGGCCGAACTGATCTGGCGGGGTTTCAACATCGCTACATCGGACTCGATTTGCCTGCGGGAGCGTCACTCCTTGAACGCATGATCGTCTCCTCGGCCGTTTGGTGTAACCTCATGTTATGAAGCATACTCCCGTCGTGATGCAGAGGCAAGTCGCATCACTCGAAGACAGCCAACGCTGGGATCTTGGCGGGGTCCATTCCAGCAGACAAGCTCCAATGCAATGCCGACATAGACCCTCAAAGGTGAATACGAGGATCTTCCCAGTTGCTAGCAATACTACCATCAAGCAGCTCTCCCTTGCAGTGCACCTTATGCAAGCCCGGATCGAAGGTGCCGTTCTGCACGATTGACCCAACAGAGACCCGGGCATTCTTGGAGGATGACAGATTTGATTGGCTCGTCGCGCAGCACAAGCCAAAAAACGAAGTGAAGGCCGGGAAATGGCAACGCAATATCCACTACATTCCACCAAGAAATATGTAAATTAATTTCGGCTACGGTTCGTGAGCCTGTAGGCTTTCACACGATGTCTGTTCGAATGCAGCAGGTCTCAGAATTTTTCGCTATGGTTCAGGCAAAACATGTGTATATTCAATGAAGCAACGTTTGCGGTCTAGTTCACGCCCCCACGCCCTATTTCGCTTCCCCCCATCATCGATCTGCAAGGCAACCGCCTCGTTCTAACGTGCCTATAGTTTACGCCTTTGTGATGTGAATATCCTGCTAACACGCCGATTCATGCACATGGTGCTCCCGCTGAAGCAAGTGCAAGCTGTGTTCTTGCTTTTGCTGGAAGAGGCGTTTGTCACAGTGGTGGACATTGCCGGCCTGATTTCCGGAGCCCACAAAGGCCTGCCGGCAGAACCGACCCCTGGTCTTGTACGCCTTATGCCATGCATTGCGAAGTACCTGCCGCATCTCTCAGGTGAAGGTTTGGGAAATGCTTTCCTTTCACACATTCAATCTGTGGAATCTTGGCCGCATGTTGCAGGCACATGCCCGCGTTTCAACTGCTAGGAGGGCTGCCGCTGCAGGGTGAGAGCCCCGATCATCCTTGCAACACAAAGCTTGCCCAGGATGGTATTGTGCACGTCATGCGTGCGTTCGAAGATGACGATGTCATCCATGCAGAGGATACAGTAGATCCTGCCAGACACCCGGAGACTGCAATCAATCATCAAAACAATCACACGCTTTGGCAATAAGGTGCGCGACATCAACACCATCTGCAGTGAGTTGCGCTTGAAAGACATCAGCTATATGAAGGGCAAGGCCCTCATGCCTTCTATGTCAATGTGGCTAAGATCACCGCATACAGATCGTAATTTGGACACCTGCCCGATGTTCTCGTGATTTTGCCTGCAATTGTCTCGACTTTCTCACAAGGCGTTGATCCCGGAGTTTAGGCAATGGGCAAGCACTCCCCCGCCAAACCTTGCGCAGGTCGAGTTCCACAAGAAAGGCCACGCAGCAGCTAGAACCAAGTCGCCTGCGCACCTCAAGACTCATGGCTGACAAGCCACTCATGCACAAGACTCCGACTTCTCCCGATTTCTGTTCTCGAGCACCTGTAAGGAAGTGGGAAGAAGAGCTGGAAACTATGGAGAAAGTGATTTCTTGGCTTGAGGATGGGAAGGCGGGCTTCTGATGCTGGGTCTACGGCAAGCAACATGTCCAGGCAAGCCATGTCCGTGTGAGCTGTGGATGATTTGCTTGCCCCAGGATATCAAGACACTCGGCGATGACATTTGGCGTTCTGGCAATGTACCGGACGTGCCAACAGTGCCAGTCGTGGAACAGCAAGTAGCCTAGCTTGTCCGGCTTGGCTGTGAAAAACTTGAGGAACGGGATGGAGAAGTGGTCGACTAAAGCTGCTTGCCCAATACTCTCTTGAAATTCCGCCTCTTTCTCCGGTGGCTGGTTCCGAGGATATTGAATTCATCAACGACTACGGTCTGCTCACCGCAAAGCCCTGCATGTACGCAATCAACATGAACAAGACACTTGTCCTGAAATGTGCATGCTGGACGGATGTGAGCGTTACCCTCTGATGATGTCATGTCTGCGCGGAGGAAAGACTTCTGCCGAAAAAAGCAGCTTGGATACAGGTATTTTGTGCATCGAGAAGGGCTTTGGGGACATGGTGCTTGCCACTGCGAGCTGAGGAACAAGTTTTTGAAGCCCATCTATGACTGGGTGCAAGCCAACTCTCCCGGCAGTGCCATGATTCCTTACTGAATCTCGGCAGCCCCAATGCACCAGCCGAGAGAGCCGAGACTTGGGCATCTCTAAGGCGGAGCTTATGAGGAGGAGCTCCAGGACATGGAGACGGAGGAAGAACGGCAGAAGCAGCTTACAGAGGATGGCTGCTCGCCCTGAGTTCCGAGGCAAATTTTCACTTCTTGGCCTGCCAAGCTAAGGCGTCGTTAGTGCCATGCCAAAAATGATCACGACCGCCTTCCATATGGCACCTCTGATGCCGAAAGTGTGCAATCGTCACGCAAGTGAGGATTGCGAATTCAAGCTTGTTGCTGCTTGCCATGAGAGGTGCATCTGATCAACTTCTTCACAGCAGGGCCTGATGAAGTGAAGGCTTGGACTGTCCGGAAAGGATACAAGGTGCCCCGATGCAGAAACGACAGAAAGCACTCGTTGCTGTCGCCAGAACTATCCTCAGGCCCCCCAAGCGGCCGGAGTTATCCACTCCGATTTTGAGAAAGGCGCACAACACTGTGAAGGGTTTGTGGCTCCGTTCTTTGAAGCCTTCATGGCCAGGCTTCATTATGGCAGAGGTCATGGCCTACACCGACCTCAAAGAGCTCGGCAGTGAAGCAGCTGTCAAGGCCAAGCTAAAGGGCACAGCATCACTTCTGGGCCGGCTTTTCGATTCGCAACTTTTCCCGTGACATGGCTGCAAACTGGTGCGTTTCACAGGCAGCCGGAAAGTACCGGCAGGAGGGCAAGGGCTATGAGGCAGGCGAAGCCTGAGGCTGTCCACATCTTAGCTGGGCAACTGCACAGGTTCAAGACGGAGACGTCATTTTCTTCAAGTTCAATCTGGGCAAGGGGAAGTGAGAGGGCGGAGCGGAGTAAGCCCTGTAGTCTCTGGCGGCTTTCTCGATATGGCAATGCCAAGCGCCGGCAGTTACTGATGCAGGCTACGTAGAACGGCGTGAGTCTACCTTCTCTTTGTAGTCTCCTTGGGCCATGCTTTAAGAATGGTTCCAAGATCTGTGCAGTTTTGCTCCAAAGCAAGACGCTTTGAAAAGGAGAAGGCCTGCATGGTGTGGAATGTGTAGGTGGCATACTTGGACAGCAGAAAATTTCGCCTGCAATTCTTGTCTTCGGCTATCGGTTCTTCACTCCTTGAATCCCCTTGATCAAGTCCGCCGACAGTTGGGAGTTGATGGTTTTGTTAGACCTAAGTGCTATGGTTGGTTGGTATCAGGACTAGTAGGATCTGGCAATGGTTCGTGCCACCCGATTGTGAGAAGGTGTAAACAATCTTCCTCGTCTCAGCATGTTGGAAGTTCCATGTCGGCAGTCGGCTGGCATTGACTTTGCAGACTTTGCAGTGGTTTGTGCAATCCTGTCAGTAGAACCTGCTCATGTGAACCAAAAGCAGACCATTGGAAAAGTATCGGTGTGCACTTCAAGATCTTTCAGGTGCAACCAGGTGCAGCCGATGGACAGTTCCCGTGTCTCTATGGTCTCTTCAACACTGAAAGAGTCGGCATTTACAGACTTCAAGTGCGAGAGCCCGGCGCTCCAGTCGCAAGCGTTAACTGAGCGTTGGGGATGTATTCTGAAGTTACAGGGCTTTATTTCCCCCAGGCCCGTGGTGCTTGATGTTCTTCCAGGATCTTCCATGATTTGGTAGTGTCAGCCGCTCGATGAGGCTGGCACAGAGAAGCGACTCTTCTCATGCAAAGGAAGCAGATTGCCTGCGCGTGTTGCTGCAGCTTGCCCGGCTCTGGCGACGGACCGCGGCACTCCAACTCCAACTGAAGTGCCTGGGCAAATGTGGTTTACTCGGAGAATGTATGTCTGCCTACTGATCGATAAGAGGTCTGTGATGGAGAGGACGCCGCCCGTTGAGCAGGAAGATCGGGGAGAAGTGGAGTGCTGAGAGCACGAGGTCTCTGTGGTCTCTGTGTGTTTGTCTAGGAGTCTTGCTTGTGTTGTGTTCCTTTTGAGTACGCCTGGACTGCCAAGGCAAACATGGAAGCTGCTCACCTTGCATCAGGCCATGACCTGCCGCAAGGCCTTGCGGAGGACTCGATGTCGTGGCGCTGGTCCCGCGCCTGAGACTGCAATTAAAGACGGTGTAGGTTAAGGTTGCCTGTAGGCTTTTGGGACAGCCGCTCCCCTCTCCTGGTAGAAAGAGATGATGGTTGTTGTGTATGGCCGTCCGTCCCGTACTTTTCGAGTGGCGCCCGTGCACTAGGCCACCGCCAGTGCATGGAGATCCTCGTGCGACAAGACTGCGAGCAAAAGTGCCGTAAAGAGCATCTCGAAGAACTGAAGCACAAGCTGCGCGAGGAGACTCAGCGCAGGCGGGCATTCTCAGCAGTCATGAAGCTTCCGGCGTGAAGCCGCCACTTTCCACCTCTCTTGAGCATGGCGCTTGGGCCAGGATCGAAGCGGAGGCCAAAGTAACACGCCTCCTGGACATAATCCATTCTATCACTCGTGGGACGAGGGTGCCCCTTGGCCAGTTCAGGCTGATCGCTGCAGGATTTCAGGTGCATGTTCCAGCGAATCGTGCTGCTGCCAAGGGAGCAGTTGGATTTGGAGGTCGCAAGGCTCTCAGTCAGGAGCCAGGTCTTGAAGGAGAACGCAGAGAAGCTGGTAGAGGCTCGTAGATTGTAAATGCTTTTGGAGTCGTTGAGCACACGCGCAGACTTTCTTGTAAATTGTGGACCGGGGCCCGGTGCAGGAGAAGAACGAGTTGAAGCGCCGTTACGACAAGCTCCTGACTCACAGCAAGCGCTTGGATGAGGCGGGCCGAATCCGAATCCGGAACAGACGCAACTCAAGCTCCATTTTGACCAGCGCCTGAAGGAGAAAACGAGCTTGAAACAGAAGTGTGATGACCAGTTTAAGCAGCTGCAGGCCGTCAAGTTTGAAATGCGTGTTGCATGTCGTCATGCAGTGGACATAAAGTCTACATAGAGCATATCTGTAGCTTCAGCTGTCTCGGCTTGTCTTTGGCTGTGCAGAAACTTCACCTGGAGCGCCTGGCGGAGGGCCTTAAGGAAATGCTCCGGCTCCAAGGAATGGAAGAAGAGGACAAGTTCTGTGAATCCCGTCGTGCGACTTGTCGCAAGCAGTCATTTCGTGTCCCCGCAGGAGTGGATGCAGGAGACTGCAACTGGCTCCTCCCGAGCAGAGGACGGTGGGTGGTGGGTGGTGGGTGGTGGGTGGTGGTGGTGGTGGGTTGGTGGTGGTGGTGGTGGGTGGGTGGTGGTGGTGGTGGTGGGTGGGTGGGTGGGTGGGTGGGTGGGTGGGTGGGTGGGTGGGTGGGTGGGTGGGCGGGTGGGTGTGCTGGTGCTGCATGCATGAGGCGGCAGGAGCGATTTGCATTTTGTC